CGCTTCCGGAGCATTGAACTGGACGAACCACGCCGTACCTGATACCGAGGGAGTCCGTATCCAGGGGCGGCGCACTGACTGACTTGGGATCTGACGCTTGACGGCCGCATTCCCAACGGCCACCTGCCACCGTCACCTGTCACCACTGCCTCCAGTTACAGAGACGGCTCCGACAAAAGGAGAAGCGACGGTTCTGTCTCAGCCGAGGTGATGGCGCCCGGACTGGCAGAAGCACGGAAATACTCATTCCTGACCTGACAGGAGTCTAGGAGTGAGTGCGCGAGGTGGTTATAAAAGGTGCTCCACCCCTAAAGAGGAGGTATGCAAAACCTTGTGCTATCTGGTTTATCTTGCCTTTGAAAGATCCTAACTTAAGCTTCAGAGCCTTTACATCGGGTTCTCCCCGGAGCTTCTTCATCTCCTACGTTTCAGGTCCCCGCCACTCGATTCAGAGGCAAGGTCATTGACAGCTAAGACCGGCCGGATTGCGCATCATCACAAACGTTTATAAATACAGTTAGTAAATCACCAAAAATTAAATACTTATTAGTACAATTGGTAAATTACCAAAAATTAATAAATATTATTATTAATTAACTTATCCGATAGGAGTTATTAATTAACTCATCATGACTTTTTAAAGTATTTTGGGTAAATACTGTCATATTCATGTTAATTAACAACATTTTGTAGAAATTAAAAACTCTTTAACTAATTTCTATAAAATTGAGAATTATATTTGACAATTATCAATAAGTATAAAATTTTAGTTATTGCTATTATTATAGTTAATAACCAAATGAAGATGGGGGAATAAAATATTGTAACATTGGAAAATGAAATTATTAATTAATTTATATTGGAAAATAAAAGATAAATAGTGTATTTTTGTTAGTAAACTACTTAATAAAAATAATTTTTAATAAATCTCTATAATTACACAAATGTAATAAATTTTTCAAAAGTTTTCATAAAACTACATTTTTTGTAAAATAAAATTTTGGAAATTAAACGATATAATATTGTACTTTTTGAAAAGAAAAATAAAGTTTATTTAAAATGTATTAAACGATTATTCAAAATTACTGGATTATTTTGGAAATTTTAGGAAAATTTATTACATTTGATAGATTTTGTAAAACTATTGAAAATTTATGTAGTTTTCATTGTAAATTATTGAAAATTATTAAAGATAAATGAATATGGGAAAGGGAAAACTGTAATTTGAACCAATAATTACACAAATTATTAAGATAAATTAGTATAATAYTRGRAAAAGRARWTTATTGATTAGTTTATATTAGAAAATATAAGATAAATTAGTGTACTGTAAGTAAACCATTTAAAAAATAAATTATTTAATAACAATTTAAAAATAAGTTTTCCAATTTTTTCATAAAATTATATTTTTGAAAATTAAAGACAATTTAGTGTAGTTTTAGAAATTTACCATGTGGTTGATACTTAGTATATCCTTTTGGTCATTTTTGTCATCAAATCCGATATTAGATTAACGGGGAATGGGTGCCTTGCCTTGAACCAGCTCGATGCTAGGGACGGGGTGGGGAAAATTCGAGGATTCCCCATCCTTGATGACGAGTTGGTGCCTTGCCCTTAACTCACCCAACACTGAGGACAAGGCAGAGAAATTCGAGGATTCCCCATCCCTAATGAGGAGTGGGTGCCTTGCCCTGAACCCGCCTGACACTAGGGATAGGGTGGGGACAAGGATGGGGTGCCCCACCTCGAACCCACCCCATTGCCATTCCAATATAATTGCTAATTATTAGTGAAATTAATAAAAATGTTAACTTTTGTAATTATTTTTATTTATTTAAAGGCAACCTAAATTTTATTTAAAAATAATGAAAATAATAACAATTATTAAAATTACTATAAATGATTAATAAAATTAAATTTATTAAAAATATTTATTTATATTAAATTAACAATAATTATTTTCTATGAATCAACATAAATGAAAAATACAATTATTAAAATTTTAAATATTAACAATAAATTTGAATATTTTTAGTTAATTAACAACAAATTTTGATTATTAATTAATTAATAATAAATAAAATTATTCAATATTTCAGATTTTCTCATACATTGCAACGCCCCTACTAGTATAGGATAAACTTGGCATATATAACCATGGTTTTAAAAATGACTCGAAAATGGAACCGTTCTAGCCACCGGTTTTCGGATCGATGGTTCAATCGCCTGATTTGAATAAATGGCCCATTCTAACAACAAAAAGTAAAAAAATAATAAAAAATAAAAAATGACCAAAACCGTTAAACGAGTCAACGGATCGACAATTCGACCGCCCGAACCAATGAATCATGATCAATTCAACAGTTTGTATCCAAGGACCGGATTTGAGATAAAACAGAACCGATTGCTTGGATGATTCCCAATCCGAATGGTCCGACCATCCAAGTCAACAACAGTTTGAAAACCATGTTATAACAATGTGGGATTTGACTGCTCAAAGAATATCGGATCCGAACAAGAACCAATGAATTAAAAAGGCATATAATAAGGTTTAGATCTGGTATACATGAGCCCAGATTGGACTTTGGAGTAGGGTTGTTCACGGGTCGGGTTGGGTCGGTTTACTGAGGTTTTTCCAACCTATTATATTTATCCTAATTATTGTATCAATTATTTTCTGTTTTATTATTTTTTCTTTTTAACATTAACAAAAAGGTTAACCTATAAATTAAATTATCATTTAATGATTTATAAAAATATATAATTTTTACTAAAAATATACCAAATCTATTAACTTTTATAAGATATATATCATATGCAAATTCATAATTTTTAATTACTAAAATAATTATTTCATTATTAAAATTTGAACTTCTATAAAATTCTTGAATATTTTGTAAGCAATTTTTTATTTTTTCGTAAATGATAAATATAGTGTTATTTAATATAGATTAAAATATTAACTAATAATTATAAAAATATATAAAAATTGTAAGATATATATCATGCACAAATTTATAAATTTTAAGTACTAAGATAATTATTCTATTATTAATATTTTATTTGTATAAATTTCTTGGGATTAAAATCATCATTTGATGTAACTTTGGATTTGAGAGATTATTTATTTCATTTTGTTATAAAATGCTAATTTTAAATATTATTTCTTTTAATTTTTAGTTGGAATTGTTAATCATAAATATGTATTATTTGTTTGGGTGAACACAAAAGTTAATAAAACTTATTTTATTTCACTAAATAACATAAAAAGGTGAGATAGCTTATTGGCTTAAAGTAGTATTAATGCCCCATTCGCTTTTCGGTAAGTCACTTACTCGGGTAAATGCACTTACCCGGGTAAGTCTTTCCTAGGAAACACTAGGTAAGTGCATTTACCCATGTTCTTTTATTTCCCATGTAAATAAGACAATGACCATCTTAGCCATAAAAATTCCATTATTGAAAGGGGCATTTTTGTCCCATCCAAGTATTGTCAA